TCTGTGAAAAAAATTCAGGTGCTCAGGCGTGAAAATGTGTCGCTCAAACACTATACTTTTCCGCACACACTGAAAAAAAATTAGAGGGAACATTGCTTGTGAGAAATTTAACTTTAGACTAATCCTCCTGGGGAAGAGGAAGACAGTGGATGATGTCTTCCTCAAAGCCAAGCCGAGGGTTGCCTGGTTGTATTGAATTCTGAAGAGACCTAGCTTACTTTCCAGAAAAGTTACAATAGCTGCATTTCGTTCCACCAGAATCCAGTGTTGTCATTCAAAGGCAGCATTGTATTATTTGATAAGAATCTTTTGGGAGGCTTGCTTCTATTTCAAGAATTGCACTTTCTATAGTCTCATTTTGCATTGCAGGATATTTGCTAACCAATACTCTTGTGGGGGGGAGCAGTGGGAGGCCATAAAATCTAGCAGGCGTGATGGCCTACAGATGCAGCAGTGAGTCAGTTAGATCAGACGCACTAATGAAATTAGTGAAAGAATCAGGTGGGAAGCTTCCCACTTCCCCGACTGTAAGTAACTGAATATGGCAGACAGTTAATACCGTTTTGAGGGACATTACCTACCTTAAGGGGGGGGTCTATTGTGCCCGGTCCTGAAGAAACCCATCCATGATCTGGCCACTTTCTCCCAATCTTCAATTTTCCCTTTTTATGGATGATTGTCAAGAAAGTAGCAGGGCATCGGCCACAGAGGATGCTACAACAGGTGAATTGTGTAGGTTCCTATCATCCCGGATTCAGGCATTGGGGGGGGGGGCATTAAAAGGACAGGATAGTTCTAAGCAATTAGTTTTATCAGGACCACGATTTTGAGTTGTGTGCAACACCTATTACACTTCTGAGCAATATTCATAACTATCAACTGTACTAGCCTTCCGGGTCACCTGCAATGGCTGGAAGCACTGAGTTATGGTGGTTCTGAGCACGCAGTTTCAGTCAGTAGTTACAGAAGGCTATAATCTTTGATTTCTCCAGGGGGGTATGGGAGGGATTCCATAGGACTCAGTGCTCCTCCGTGTAATTGAACATCTGCATGAAACCTGTTGGGAGGGGTCACCTGGTGGCACAGCGTTTAGAACGCAGTATTGCAGACAAACTCTGCCCACAGCTGGGGTTCAATCCTGACGGGGCTCAAGGTTGACTCAGCAGCCTTCCATCTTTCTGAGATTAGTAAAATGAGGAGCCAGATTATTGAGGGCAATATGCAAATAATGCCAAGACTAAACCACCCAGAGAATGCTGCCAAGCGCTATTGGGCCCTATATAAGTCTATTGCTGTTGCTGTTTATAATGGGGTATCATTAGTATGCGGATGCCGTCAGCTATGCATTGCCAGTCCGGGTCAAATTGGATCTGCTCTGGAAATCTCCAATTGGAGATTGTCAGGGTCTGAATGGAACTGCTGTGTGTCAACAAACATCTCGGCAAACTGATAACATCGTTCCTAGATAGTTACTCTAGACAGGGGAGGGGGAAAAGTTGGTTCATGACTTGGGGTTCTTCTGGATTTGGGCCTCCCATTCAAGCAACAAGTGGGAGTTGTAGCCAGGACATTGTGGACAGGCTGAATGAAATTCTCTTCCGCAAGAGTTTGTTCACAGGTGTTCTGCCACCATCACCTTTTTACTACCATCTGCAAGAATTTAGGAATACAGTGCCTTTGAACACAAACCTAGGACAATGGGTCCTTCCTTCTGCCAGGAATATCCACCTTTGGTTCTTCTCCAAGCTGTTGAATGTTAGTGAAAGAGTTGATATTAGAGTTGATATTAAACAATTGGAAACCTGAAGCCCATAACCCTTTTATGGGTCCCATACCTACATCAATTTTATTTGTTTTAATAGAAACTTGAAACTGAACTCAAGTAAAATAAGCGATTCTGCTGTGCTTGATATATATCATTTTAAGGACAGGGTGCTGACATTTAAAATACTCCCCTGAACCAAAAATACTTTGCTGGAAGCACCATGTTCCCAATTTTAAAAGGCAGAAAAATGGAAATACTGAAAGAACTCTGAAGTGCTGAGATGGTTGAATTTTTAAAGTTAAGTTTCCATAATGGGCAGTGGAAGAGAGAAAAACACTCTAGCTGGAAACAAGGAGCATAAGTGGAGTTCAGAGGCTTCTGTGAAAATCTTCTGGTTCCCAGGGAAATGGCAAAGTCTGTACATAAACAACTTTAGTTGGAGCCATCTGGAAAGTTAATAGGAAGAAAAATATTGCCCTCACTCTCTTGATTAAGTGACACAAGATAAAGATTTTATAACATCTGTTGCTTAGGGATCACTATTGTGATAGAAGCACAATGCTTTCATAATCAACAGGATTGCCATTTCGAGATAGAATCCATCATTGGTCTATCCGCTTTTCTTATCCTTAATGTGTGTACAAAAATGCTCAATGACATTTTTTCTTCTTTTGCAGAGCTGAGAAAACTGAAGTCCTCAGTGATGACCTGCTACAGGTAATTGATTGATGGTTGTGTTTAAATTCCTGTAATAAGGCTGCCTTTGGAGATTTTGATTGCTGCTTTTCAAAATGTTGAGTGAGAAAAGCAAGTATGTCATATAAAGACAGAAGAGGCTTTTTCACATTCCACACCAGCAGAAACAGGGTTCAAAAAAGTTACCTTAGTCTAAAGCTGGTGAGAAAGTGGGAAATAACTGGTTTGAATCTGATTGGCTTACTGCAGAGTGAAATATTTTGGTGTTATTGGAGCATGAATGTGTGTCTCTACCCATTTGGGAAAAATGCATTTGCAGGTGTATGTTGCAATGAGCAATTTGGAATTTTGTTCTTCAGTTTGTTTGTTTTTTCAAAAAATGTAATTGTGTGTTCCCCAGAAGAGGGTTGTATCATAAATATTTTTCTTCCTTTCTTTTTATCCTCTTATTTTACTACTTCTGTTAAGTTGCAACAGGATAATAAACTGGTATTTACTTTAAGATGTACACATCTGTAGACTCATTACAATATTCCTTTTTGTGGATAAACACATATATATAGATATAAAGAGTGGGGGGAGGAGATGAGTAAGTAATAGTGAACCAAAGAAATTACTGGTGGTCCTTGTTTAACAATCACTTGCTCAAACTTACTTACAGCACTGAATGAGTATTTATAGCTATGGCAACTTCTCTGCAGTCACAATGTTCTCCAATCTTTGCTGGCTTCCAACAAAGTCAAAGGGGAAGCCAGCAGGAGGTCGCAGATGGTTCTTTCTTCTACTTTTGTTTTTAGTTCACACTCATTTATTCTTTATCTCTTCATCTTCTGCCCCATAGACTTCTTAAGTGTCCCATTGTATCCAACTAGAAGGATTTTCTTGACATATCATAACTGAATAGAAGCACATCTTTATAGGCAGCTATTTTTGCTTATTTTAACAGCCTTTATTTCACAGAATAAAGTACCTTTCTGCTGGCACTTGCACATCTTCAGAATTCTTCATTTATTTTCCCACCATAATAAACCTTCTGCTAAGATATAGAACAATCGCCTAATTAACAACCTGTGCATACTGAAAATCCAAGCACACAGACCAGATTCTAAATTTCACAAGCAACCACCCCATGACACACAAGACAAGTCCCTTTTCAAAAGAGCCAGAACACAGCACTGGGCCATTAAGAAAAGCAGAAGAGAAACACATTTTCAATGTTTTTCTCCACAAAGACTATCCAAAAGATTTCATAATACAATCCTTGTCATCCAAACTCCAACAAAATACACAGCCAATCACAACACAAAAACAAGTCCTGCCATACATCAAAGGGACATCCAAAATGGCTGCCAGAATACTGCAGGCCCTAGGAACGATAGCTCACAAGCCCACATTTATACTCAGGAAAAAGCTACCTACAGTCAAAGAGAAAATACAGAAGAAAGACAACAGCAACGTAGTAAACAAAATTGATTGCAACAATTGTAACCAGTTCTATGGGAGGAAGGCCATTGAAAATGAACGGGAGGCAGGAATGAACAGGAAGGCCATTGAAAATGAACATCAACTAGCAGTTAAACAGCACAACCAAAAATCCTTGATCTCAAACCCCATGGATAATAAACAACACCAGTTCGATTGGGAAGGAACCAAAATCATTGGCCATGTCAGCACCCACCACACATGTTAATTTATGGAAGGCTGGTATTCTACCAAAGCAGCAATTAACAAACATATTAATCTAGATCCAGAGTAAGAATACGTAAGAAACCAAACCACGAGGACAACCAATCAACAAGAGAACCAATCAGAATTTAAATGTAGCTCCAAATAAACAACCAAACACACGGCCAACTGATCACATTGGCACACAAGACATTTATAAGCTAAGGAGAATAGGACGAGAGAATCCTGCTGATGCTGTTACCTAGTCCGATAACGAAATGTTCAGAAGCTAAATTGAAAGAAGCTTCGAGACAACACCACGGCCAAAATCTAAAACCTGAGCTTACAAGTGTTTTCTATTATTTCAAAATCACCTAATTGTTCTAGTTTATCACTGTTATTGTATGAGTTGTTCATTTTTCCTGTCTAACGTTTGCATATGTTAATTCTCAGTTCCATACTCCTTAGTCTATCTAATATTCTCTGCAAATCATTTAGATCCTCAACCATAGCATGGGATCAGATGTATACAAAAGTACACACATATTTGCATCCCCAACCAATGTGTTTCTAGTGTCACCATATACATGTATTAAACATGTATTTATGTAGAATTTATTATAAATCTGTAAATAAATAGCCAAGAGAACATCAGAGCTCCTTGCCTTATTCCTTGCTCAGTCCTGACATTCCGTTGATTCGCACACGCATTTTCTTTCCATCACATTCCATTCTTGCTCCATTCAGCAAAGAACTTTCAACTATATATTTGTTTGAAATATTACATAACTCATGCACATTCACTTTATTATATGCTGTCTCCAAGTCAGGAAAGGTCCAGTGAATTTTCTTTCACATACTAGAATTTTTCTCCGCAATTCACTGAAGAGCAAAAATCCATAATATTCTTTCCAAATGTTGCTCATAAAGGCACAACATTCTTACGCCTTTCCTGTTTCAATCACCTCCCATAACCTTATGATTAGATACATCAGTCTGAGATATTATTCCACAACTGACCTCGCAGCCATGCAGATTTGAATAGAATATAAATGTGAGCTGAGATTCAGAAAATACGGAAACCTTTAACAAGTCCAAGCTTCCATGCGGTCCCTTTCTCACACACCAAAATCTCCAAGGTGCATCTAAGGTTCTGCTCAGAACCTTCAGCTAAATCGAGTTGAACTTTGGAAAGGAAGAGCTGATGGGCAGAGGTTTCTTTATAGTTCTGCCAGTTGTGGCTGCACGTAGAGGGTGATTTTCTCCCATGTTGCTGCAGATTCTGGATATCATCTTTGCTGGCACTCAGGTTTTTCACTCTTTCTTCCAAAAGACAATTGAGGCAGCAACTCCTTCTGGAAAACCTGTTAAGTACTTAACGGTCTGGTGCCCATAGCCAAAAATGTGAATAAGCATGCATTTACATTTTTCATATTATCCAAATAAAATCAGCACTAGAAGCTGTTCCTGCAGCTGTACCAAATATATGCCTCAGCCTCTAAGAGGCTGAGACATATATGTGGTAGGGTTTTAATTGGGGATTAAAGCATTAATCACTTCTGTTGTATTTCTTTAGTATTTCCATGCAGTAGAAAGAGAAAGCAAGCTTCTTTGAAGACTCTCCAGAATCATCAAGTCCTACACTGTCAATTCTCTCCTGTTTATTCTGTGCATTTATAACTTACTAAATTCCACCTTACAAATTTGGGGATGTTCACTTTCTTTATAAGCATGAAGTGAAAGCGTTCAGCTCTTTTCTTTGAGTAATGTTACATTTCAGTTTTCCTTCATGTATTTAAGTTAGGTTATGTTCTACCCAAATCAGAGGAGCAGGGAAAAGATTTGTCAACTTAAATTCCTATTTAAATTTCTGCATTTTTTTTCTCAAGTCTTCCCTGCATTTTCCTATTTTGTTGCCTTGGTAATCCTAAGAAATATTTGGAGGCGTGGAGATGGAGGGAAGCCAGGAATTCTTCTCTCCAACTATTGGCAAAGGCTTTTTGCAGGCATGGCTTTGTTGGTTCTGTGACACCCAGGCGGAATTGCTTATTCATCCCCTTGCTGGGCAGAAACTTCCAACTTTTGTCTTAGCCTCAACTTCAGGCGCTGTGCCTTTTGCCAAATGTTTCTGTTCTCTGGCATATTCTCCCAGGCGTGTTCTTCGTTTCCAAAGTCCTTTCCAAGAGAAGTAAGTAAGTCATGTGTTTCCGTAAATACAGTTAAATGGCTTATTACTCTCAAACGTAATCTCTGCAAACAGCTCTGACTAAGAGGCCTTGGGAGCTGCAAGGGACCCCTTCCCTCAGGATGACTGGGCTTCCCTTCTTCTTCTTTGACTGTTCCTGACAGCAACTACTGTTTGTGTATTTTGGTTCATAATATGGAAGGAATTATTATCATCTTCCTTAGCATTAGTCCCGCAGATGCGGGATGTGCTTTTTGGATTGACAGTGACCATAATTAGAATTTATTGATTTGGGCTGACAAACACCATCTTTGCTTCGGCCTTCCACTTGGATGCTTGCCACCTAATAATAATATGGAGGGAGTCCCATAGGAAAATAAGTTAAAATAAAAGCATTTGTTCAGCAATAATTTTAAATTATAATTGGAAGCCAAACTTAAGTGATTCTTAACCATGTAGTTTTTTTTTTTACTTGTGGAGTTCCTCGTGCTCTCTGACAGACATTTCATTACCTGGCTAAGTATCATCCGTGCTAATCAGTGTTGTGCCCTGTGAAGAGGGACGGTTGTGTACAAGAATGAGCTCCGTTCACTTTAAGTTTCTTTGCCAGTGGTGCCCCCTGGGGTTCAACTGAGCTGTGGAAGAAGCTGGGCAGTGGGATTCGGTTCTCGCTCCACCTTTCGGGGGGGGGGGATGACTGTGAGCCATTTGCTCCCCAGTTGCAGCATCTAGCTCTGTGGGGGAGGGGGATGATGACCCAAAGCTCCAGTTTGGGAGGAGTCTTGCAAAATGGGACCCAGCCCCACCTCACGACACACAGTAAGTTTCCTCTTCTGCCTGAGCTGCTTCGCTTCACTGGGCCGTAGCTAGATGACCCAAAATAGCAATTTCCCTGGGGGAGCAGAGGCCCTGAGAGTTGGTCGTCTCCTCCCTCTGCTTCTCAGACAGGACCTGCTGGCAGGTGGCAGAGCTGGGTCTCCGCATCTCAGCATTGTCAAGCAAGGGCATCCTTTAGCTCAGGGGTGGGCAACTATAGCCATGGCCTGGGTCTCCCAGAATCCCTGAGTCTTTAAAGTTGCCAGGTTTGGAGACCTCTGTTCTAAGGCAATTTTTTTTAAAAAGCCGCACTTAAAAGTCTTAAGGGGATTCCTATATTTGCAGCTGGACCATT